GGTTACGAGTTGCTACACGGGTTATGACAATGGATATGGATTTACTACTTCATAAAAACCATATTCTAAACAATATTGTTTTGTTTTGTTTAGGGTATATTAAATATGAGTAAGGGTTAATTGTTTAGGGTATAGGGAATAGGGTTTAGATTTTATTTTTAGTATTATAGTGCTTAGGGTATATATATTAAATATATTTTCTCGTGGATATGGATTTATGGATGGTTTAAGGTTAAAGGGTTTAGGGTTTATGGTTTATTGTTATGTGTTTAGGGTTTAGTGTTTAGTATTTATAGTTTAGGGTTTAGGGTTTAGGGAATATTTTTTAGATATATATGCTATGGGGTTTATTGAATATGAGTAAGGGTTAATTGTTTTGGGTATATGAAATAGGGTTTATAATTTCATTTTGGTATTATAGTTGTTAGGGTATGTATTTTTATTTACAATGGATATGGATTTACTACTTCATAAAAACCATATTCTAAACAACATTGTTTTGTTTTGTTTAGGGTATATTAAATATGAGTAAGGGTTAATTGTTTAGGGTATAGGGAATAGGGTTTAGATTTTATTTTTAGTATTATAGTGCTTAGGGTATATATAATAAATATATTTTCTCGTGGATATGGATTTATGGATGGTTTAAGGTTAAAGGGTTTAGGGTTTATGGTTTATTGTTATGTGTTTAGGGTTTAGTGTTTAGTGTTTATGGTTTAGGGTTTAGGGTTTAGGGAATATTTTTTAGATATATATGCTATGGGGTTTATTGAATATGAGTAAGGGTTAATTGTTTTGGGTATATGAAATAGGGTTTATAATTTTATTTTGGTATTATAGTTGTTAGGGTATATATTTTTAATATATATCCACGTGGATAGGGAATAGAGTTAAGGGTTTATTGTTATGGCTTTTGGGTTTAGGGTATAAGGGTTAGTGTTTAGGACCCTTAACGTATTGTTTAGCGAATATGTTTTAGATATATATGCTATATGGTCTATTTTATATGAGTAAGGGCTTATGGTTTATGGTATTGTTTAGGGAATATGGTTTAGATATATATGCTATAGGGTCTATTATATATGAGTAAGGGTTTATGGTTTAGGGTATTGGGTTTAGAATTTAATTTTGTATTATAATGGTTAGTGTATATATCTTTAATATATATCCTCGTGGATATGGATTTATGGATGGTTAAATTTTTAGGGTATATAATTAAGGGTTTATGGTTAAGAGTATAGGGTTTAGGGTTTATGGTATAGTGTTTAAGGTTTAGAGTTAGGGTTTATTGTTTAATTTTTAGTGTTTAGTGTTCAGGGTTTAGGGTTTAGGGTTTAGTGTTTAGGGTTTAGCTTTTATTGTTTAAATTTTAGGGTTTAGTGTTTACGGTTGTGTGTTTAGGTTTTAATGTTTAGATATATATGCTATAGGGTTTTGGAGTGAATTTTTCCGCTCTTACCTTACTAAATTTCCGTTGATATTAAAAGGTTTGACATAGGTGGAAATAGTTTTTCTAAATTTTATTTAAACGTTTTAAATTATTAATTTATGAATAACTATTAAATGGATACTATTACATGGACAGCAAAACAATTTTCTTACATCAAATTTAACAAAAATCATCAAATTTAACAAAAACATCCCAACAATTTTAAATGTTTTATATTCCCGTTCAACTTTAAACTAATAGGTAACCAAAAACAACATCCCGCTTACATATTGGATTATAACCAAATAACATTCCAGAAAAAATAGATCATACTACTAATGAACTCTTCCCCATAATCCCGGCAACATCCTACAATCCTTAATCCATACACCTGTGCCCAGCTTTGTTGCACATACGGCACCTTGGCCTCCCAGTTCTCTCCCGCTTAAAACGTGGCTGCACCACGCACTTTTTCATGTCATACAGGTTCATCAAACCCCCGCAACGTTTATTGTGGCAGACCTTCCAACGGCATCTCATTTGAAAGTACCCTATCGTCGACTCATAAGCCACTCCTTTTTTCTTCTCTACAAACTTCGTATATGGATTATTCGCGGCAAGACACTTTTGGAAGAAAGTGTAGTACTTTGAATGTGGCATTGACCACCACATGAAATGATTGTCCATGTCGATGCGAACGGATGCTAAGGTTTCCTTCGACAGAACAGCATCCTTCCCCTCTCTCCCAGCGAGCAACAAGTTCTTCAACGCATCAACACCATCTTCACCAACCTTACTCACGATGATATCCATTAACGGCTGAGGAATGTGAAATTCCCTCATTGGAATCTCCTACAAAATTTAAACAGATTTTTAAACTATCATTCTGACATAATCATTATCCTAAAAATACATTACAACAACCTCAATGACATTTGAACCCTCGCTATCTTCATTGCTTTCGAGAAAACCACGCATAGTTACGCTTTCTTGTGAATCTCCAATCATAATCAGAATTACAAAACAAATTTCACTTTGGATAGGTTGTGTTATGGTTTATGTCCTATTTATAGAGTCACCCATGTTTAACCTAAACTCGTGTTGCTAGCTAATTCTCCGCTTTGATAATATATTCATTGGATTACGATATATATATCTATACACATGGATATAATGTTGTGGATACGAGATGAATTTTTTTATATTCTGAGTATAAACGGGTTGATGACTTCATAAAAAAACAATAATTAATCGTTGCTTTAAAATCATGTTTAAAAATGATGAGTAAAATGTTTAGAAACCATAAAAACCATATTCTAAACAATATTGTTTTTTTTGTTTAGGGTATATTAAATATGAGTAAGGGTTAATTGTTTAGGGTATAGGGAATAGGGTTTAGATTTTATTTTTAGTATTATAGTGCTTAGGGTATATATATTAAATCTATTTTCTCGTGGATATGGATATATGGATGGTTTAAGGTTAAAGGGTTTAGAGTTTATGGTTTATTGTTATGTGTTTAGGGTTTAGTGTTTAGTGTTTATAGTTTAGGGTTTAGGGTTTAGGGAATATTTTTTAGATATATATGCTATGGGGTTTATTGAATATGAGTAAGGGTTAATTGTTTTGGGTATATGAAATAGGGTTTATAATTTCATTTTGGTATTATAGTTGTTAGGGTATATATTTTTATTTACAATGGATATGGATTTACTACTTCATAAAAACCATATTCTAAACAACATTGTTTTGTTTTGTTTAGGGTATATTAAATATGAGTAAGGGTTAATTGTTTAGGG